TCTACCATCTTCTTCTCCTCTGCCTTCTTCTCCTCCTCTGCCTTCTCCCCCTCCTCCTTCTCCTTTCCCTGCTTCTCCTCCTCAACCTTCTCTTCCCCCACGTTCTCCTCCTCAATCTTCTTCTCCTTCTCGTTCTCCGCCTCAAGCTTCTTCTCCTGCTCCTGGTTGTCCTCCTCCATCTTCTCCTCCGCCCCCGGCTGTTTCTCCTCTTCCTTCTTTTTCTCATCCTTGCCAACCTCCACGTTTCCACCCTGGACATCTGGTTCCTTAGCTGTCCATTTGCCATGGTATGCACAGAAACAAATTGTGTGTGGGTCCCTTTTGTTGGTGGGGGGGAACAGAAACAAACCAACCAACCAACCAACCAAGCAAGCAAGCAAGCAAGCAAGGAGGCAAGGAGGCAAGGAGGCAAGGAGGCAAGGAGGCAAGAAAGCAAGAAAGCGAGAAAGCGAGAAAGCAAGAAAGCAAGCAAGCAAGCAAGCAAGCAAGCAAGCAAGCAAGCAAGCAAGCAAGCAAGCAAGCACGCAAGCAAGCAAGCACGCAAGCACGGACGACTGCACGCATGCACGCACGCACACAAGCAAGCAAGCAAGCAAGCCAACAAGCCAGCAACAAATTCAAACACTCTGAAGAACACTAGAAACAATATGGGTTCGGAGGAAACAAAAGCCATGCGCCATGCACAGCGGACAAAACAACGCCACTGACACCAGCTTGGGCTCTGAAGCGGCGGGGGCGGCTTCCGCGGTTTTCACCTCTGCTTCCGTGGGTGCGGCATCCGGCGGCATGTCCTCAACCCAAGGCCCAGTGACAACCGCTAAGGTTTCAGGGGATAGCGGGTGGGGGGGAAGTAGTGGATTGCGGGAGGAAAAGTGGGTTGGGGAGGCTTGGGGGGAGGCTTGGGGTGGGGAACTTCGGTGAGTCAAAATGAGGATTGGGAATCAAACATGGCTTTGGTTTTCCAGTTTCCCTCTGAACCAAGATGGAAAACAGTACATTTAAAAAGCATTCACCCAGCTGCAAAGAGCGCCTGGAAGAACAGCAAACACCAAACATTCATATCCTGTACTGATTCTCCTTGACAAATCCAGTTGCCCCTTGGCCTTGGTGGCTTGTGAGCCCGAGTTGGACACCGGGCGATCAACCGAACCCGCACAACTGGAACGAGCCATGCAATCAAGCCGATCGAGCCTTCGAGGGACATAGTTGTCTTTGTTTCTCCGGGCTCAGTGCTCTATTGAAAGCTGGCGCTCGGAAAACCCAAAGGATAAAGGGAAAGCGCCCCTGGCTCGACCAAATACCCTTGAAAGAGGCATGCGGCACGGAAGCGCAATTGAGACCGTCTCAAAATTGCGGAGCAGCCGAACGGTTGGTTTCCTTTTGGTTTTCCTTTAAGCCAACACGAAAAGGGTACCCTCCCATTTTGGGGGGGGAGAACCGAATCGATTGGCAGAGTCTCCTTCGCCTCCTTCTCCTCCGTCTCCGCCTGAGAGACACGTTGCCTCTAAAACCAGAGCCCATTCGCCAGAGCTATTGGGGCAGGTACCCTTTTGGCAGCGGGTTTCTTGAACGTGTCCCCCTGGTCTGGATCCCATGGCTCGCTCCCCTCTCGGCACGTGAAAAACCGGGCTTGAAGCAATGGGGTTTGATTGCCACAGGAGAAAACATGTGCTTTGGATACTCAAGTGTCATTGTCGTGTGTGTAGTCTCCTAGAACCCATTTGAATTGGAGTCCATTTAGGGTAGAGCCGCACTTGTCAAGAAGAAGAGGCGCACTAGCGTTTGTACTACTGAGCGAAGCGCACGGGTTTGTCTTTGCATAGACCCCCTTCAAATGGGTGTCTTCCTGTTGAATTCCCCTTAACAAAATCCCAGCAAACCCAAGACAGACCCAATAGACCCAACTTATGCTGCTCATGCAATGGACATCCTTGAAGGCTTGGCAAGGGCCCCCCGTTGCAGCTTTGGCTGTCCCAGGTACGACAGTAGGGACTTGAGGCTGGCGTCATTCTGCCCCATCCCAAACCACGGCCTTCGGCCCCCCGCATATTCTTCGGGGAACCGTCCTTTTCCCACACAAATGCAAAACCTGGTTCGGTCAAAGCGAAAGAGGCCGGCCCTTCAGCAATCTCTCAAAGGTCCGGCCCAGACTCTGCCCAAACAGGTTGATCTTGTGATTCTTGTGTTTAACTAAAGATGGACGCATGACAACTTCAAGAGGCCAACATGTGGATTTGCGTTGGACAAGGTTCCTTAGGGCTCCTTCGCTGAAAAACCTCGTCCTATTGGGCCAGTGCTATCACTTCCCTCTTCCTGACCCTGAAACTACCCTTACAAATGGATTTCTACCCAAATTATCAGTGATTTCCCATTTGCAAGGGTAGCTGGAGTGGTCTAGGTAGCTCTTGAGGATTCTTTCACAAAATAGAGGGACACCAAAGGCAAACGAAACAAAACAAAACAGGCAACACAAAAGCAACCAAAAGAAACCAAAAGGAAACCAAGGCAACCAAAAGGAAACCGAAAGTAAACTAAAAGAAGAGCAAAAGTAAACCCAATGGAAAAAGCAAGTAAACCAGAAAAGCCAATTAAACCAGCAATAAAACTCAAATAAACCAAGGGGAAACCGAATGGAAACCGAAAGAGAACCACAACAATAAACCCAAAGTTAAACCAAAAGTGAACCAAAAAAGAACCGACAGAGAAGTAAACCTGAGGGTCAGGTAGACTCCAAACGAGGAGCCTAAACTCTCAAGAATGGTTGAAATCACCAACCATAACCTTGGGGCCATAACCCGTGTTGGGAACTTCTTTTTGGGGCCCAGGAACCTAATTTGAGCTCGGCTATGAAAGCAGTCACCTTTTTGACATGCAAAATGGGCGACTCAACCTTGCCAGGTCCGCGCCTCACTGCGTGTCACCTGGATCATTGAGAAAGGAGCGCCCAAATTCAGGGGTAGGCAGTATTTACCACTGGCCCTGGAAATGGGCCGAATGTTGGAATTTCACCTGCTACATGGATCGTGTGTGATTGAGTTTGGGTCCCTTGGTACCTTCCAAGGTAAGGGCGGCCCGTTTAAACCCTTGAAGTACCATCCGCAAAGGGCGCCCTCTAGAAATAGGGGCGACCAAGGCGGTGTTTTTGCTGGGGCAGGTGCCCTGCAGCGTGCCAATTTGGGGGCCCACAAAAAAACCGGCGTGGTTCTCTAAGATGGCTTTGTAGGTTGTAGGAAAAATGCCAGGTAGAACCACCTCCGAAACTGGCCAATAGCGCTTGGTGCACAATTTCCTTAGGGCGGTGAGTCGGCTGATGAAAAACACAGGACATCTCGAAGCCAACCATGGCCTCCAGTTTCGCCAATGCTCATTCAAACAAAATGGCAACGGATCACGCAAATACCTCATTGCATTGAAGACGGCTTTGTAAGATCTTCCAAGGCAGACACAAACCACTTGAAAGAGTTCTCAATTGTCGGTGCTTGTCTGAACTCCGTGTTCATCCCACCAAGGAAGAAAACAAACTAACCAAGGCCCATGCAAGTGCAAGGGGTCGGGTTAAATCAGATCAACGAGCGTGTAGTCACATCACTGCACGGCCACGTGCATGGACAGTCCCTCAAATAACTTGTTTTGTACTGTGGAGATCCTTTCGTCTTTGGAAGGTCCAATGGCGCAGCGGCAAACAGAAGAGGGAAAAAGAGAACGAGAGATGCCGATACCCGCAAATCAAAGCAGGTCTCCTTTTGGCTTCCCTGTAAACAGCTGTAAACCAAGGTGCAAAGGGCACCGTCAAAAAAGGCACAGTTGGGATTCAGCACTTAGCTCCCTGTCCATAGATGTTGTAGTAAATTTCTTTCAACTCGGTGAGGTCAAATGCATCCACCAGGGTACAAGTACAAGGCACTATTCTCTTTATGCCCAGAAGTAAAGAGGGTGATACAACCGACCAACATTGTGAGGTTGTGCGATCTACTTTCGCCCGACCGCAAGCGCATTTTTTGTGACCTGGATAAACTTGCCTCACCAAATTGGGTCACCCTGAATGGGTGTGTCCACCTTGTTCGGGAAACCAAAAGGAACCATCACCATCTTGACACATACCAAAATGGGTTCTAACAAAAGAAACAAAATAACATTCGGATGCAAATGATGCATTATTGTCCTTTGGTGCAAGCAATCGGAACCTTCTTGGAAGCCGACCAAAGGACGCGAGATAAGTTCCCAAAAGGAAGGGCCATTTACCCGCATTTGCCCTCCAAATGCGTCAAATGCTGGTACAGATACGGTATAAACCTTTATAGTTGACGTGCTTTGAAAATTCGGAAAATCAAGCTGGGAAATCAGACTGATTCGGCACGAGAACGCGTCCAATGACCCAAAATTCCTAGAGTCTGCTCTCTTGTTGGACCTCTTAGACTTGGTACCTTAGACTTCTCTATTTAAGCACATCCTCAGGCACCAAGCGACCCTCCGGCTCTAATCGACTCATGACACAAGAGAAGATACTCCCTGCACTTGATGACACCCCCAAATGGGAACCATTCTCTAAACGGCGAATCCTACAATTTGAGGTGCTCAGCCTCTCAAAATTCCTAGCAGTGCAGCTGTGGGGAGTAGCAAAACAACTTGCTTTGCAGGGTCACATGGATTTCCCCCCCGCCTCAGTCTCAGGATTTGCCTGGCAAGGCTGGAGAACAGAAACCTCTCTGCCCGGGCCTGCAGATTTCGATGCTTCACATGGCCACCTGGACCCTCGAACTGGGCGATTGCCAATAAAAACAGGGTTTACGGGGCCCACCCCTTGTTGGTCGGAAGTTGCCTTTGCAAGAACACTCCCCTCCACACGGAATAATGGGCACAACTTTTCTGAGGTATATGGTTCGGCGGTTGTTCCGGAGAGGTGAATGGCCTGCAGTTGTTTGAAAGATCTGGTAGCGTTGCAGTGTCTGGTGGGAGCGTGCAATCTGTAAATCTTCGGATGGCAAGCGATGAGGCGATCTCATAAAGTTGCTGGCGCCAGGAATTCCTGCAAAACAGCCATATGTTGCCAATCAGTGGATCGGGAAATGAGATAGAGGGTCGGCGTCGATGGGCTACTGTTTGGTTCATGGACCAAAGGACGCGTCCGAAAACCTGCTTTGCAAGCGGACCCAAGTCAGCTGGTGAGTGTGGCCCAAATGTACCCTTGGGTCCCTGCCTCATGCATGTTCACCACCAACAAAAACTTGGACATGTCACCATGTATGTTCACCACCATGCATGTTCACCACCAGATATAGCTGGTGCCATATCCCGGGAATCAATCAGGAAAAGCGGCGTTTCACGGCCCATAGAGCGGATATCTTGGCGCTTTCTCAGTTGCTCAAAGGACCCAGAAAAAATGCTTATGCTTTTGAGGACATGACTAGAAATGGATCAACAAGGGAAACTGAAAGGTCGAAAGGTCGGCGTTAGGCTGGAGATTTGATCCGCCCAGGTCCTCTTTTGAAACTGGAAACCCCCCCAAAGCAGCGGAAAATTGGAAAGGCCCTATCTAAACGCAGGATGCCCTGGTTTTTGCAAGCAGAAGAACAAGGAAAACAATTGAAACTTTCCGCCAGCTACTTTGGGTTGTTTATTGTTGTATTTGTTTTCTGAGAGTACCCAATTGGTGGTTTCAAGGACAACTAAAACGAAAACACATGGACAATCACATGTTTCCGCCCAAGGTATGGTTGCGCGGGAAAATACCTTGATGTAATATCAGCATAGCCCATCCACGTCACTACCTTGTCTCTTCAAAAAGGGGATTGGTATCGCAGGAAGTGGCGCTAAAACCCAAATTACACGAGTCACAAATCGAAACCCGGTATTAAAATGGACTACCCAGAACCATGTAAAGAATCAAGAAGGCGGCCGCTGCTATTTATGGTTGGGATTGTCCCTTACTAACCTTCATTTACCCGGGTTTTGATTGTGGCTCACATGAGGACATTGGGCTCTGAATCCTTCCCGCCTGCATGGCTGCTCCATGCTCCGCCTCGCGCAGCTCCATTTTCTTCCCTGGGGTTCCTTGCCTTCACGGAGGTACTTGGCATTCCATGAACCCCCGGCCACCATCCTCAAAGGATAGCAAGCGCCCATAGGGTTTGGGTTATAATCGGGAGAACCCACTCCCCCTTGCTGGGCTTTGCAAGAAGGGAAGCCAGACATTCAACAGAATCCCTTCAGTTTGAGACCGAATTGCTACAGAAATGGCACGCCCAACTTGAAAAGCAAGATGAGGCGAAGCATGGGTTTGTGTCAACATCCCAACCATGTTGAGACACCAATATGACGGTTGCTTCTCCACTGTTCGTGGCCAGGCCAACTTGGCGCACAGCGCTTACGGGAGTTAGGTCCACCAACTATGTTAAGGGGGTTCCGGAGTCGAAGTTTGTTTTTTTGGGGGGGGTCTCAAAATGCAGGGCTCCTTTTTGGATGGTACAGGGAAGCCCAGAAACCAATCCGTTATTTGGGATTCCCTTTTTGTATCACATATATTATATGTTTATGATATCCCCTCCTCGTTGTCGTTCAGGGGGCCAAAATGAGACCCTTGGCTCAAAAGACTCTCTGAGATGGCTTGGGTCAATCTGATCTAACGAATTCAAGGTTTGTCTCACTTCTGGTCAAACACAACCCAAAATGGATGTGGTTCCCTTTTGCGCGCAAACCCTTTGTTTTCCGTTCAAGGGACACAACTCCTGATTTGTTGAGATTCGCCTGCATGACCATCAACTTGGGCCCTACGGCTGCAATGCCGCCAAACCAGTTGCTGAACTACGCAGGGGGGTGAAAACGGTGATCTGAGACGAAGGCTACAAGCAAAAAGAACGATTGTCTTGCCAACTCCACAAGTAAGAAAGCCAACTGTCTGCGAGCTGCGTCTGTTGGATTCAATCCGCCGCTGTTGGTTTTGCAAGGGGTATGCTGACTTTCCGAGTTCAGCTCCAGCCTGGAGGGAGGACGTTCTTCGGTCCCAGAATTCCTACAAACACAAAACGTGGTGTATCAATAGGTGGTCAATACGGTAAAGCTGCCGAAAAAGAAGAATCGATGCACGACCCCAAACCCATAGTGGCCATGGGAACTGGTCAACTCGTTTTATCACCAGGTCATATCACCACAACTATGCAGACATGCGTATACATATATAGGTATTCAGCACATGTATATATATATATACATATATAATATATCTATATATATATACATAAACGGCGGACCCAGGCAGCGCCCGCGCCTCCAGCGTATCTCCCGCACCGGCCGCCGTCACGACCAAGTTTGCGCTCCAAAACCAATCGCCGGAGGGCGGCCCGAGATTGGCCAGCAACGAAAATCGGACGGCGGAATTGGTGTGAATGTTTTCTCTCTGAAGAGTCCCCTTGCAAGTACCCTTACATAAACCTGACTCAGACAGGCGATTATCTAAGACAACAGTTGGGAAACATATAACTAGGAACCCTGAGAACGGCAGGTGCAGTATTCAGTTGCCGGGCTTCGCGGCCAAGTCGAACGCAGGTGAAGGAACATGTCACAAACCACGGCTCTCAATTGCTGTTTGAGCCAGGTGTCAAAAATGATGGCCACAAACATGCCTTGCATACTGGATTTCTCCCATCTCCAGACTCGTTTGCAAATCAAATCCAGCTTGCGAGAAGCCCTGAAACCAGCACCCTCGTCTGAGTCGTTCGGATCTTGCGGCCAGTTTCTCACTTCCTGTCAACAAAACAAGTCAAACTGTTTGTTTGCCAATCGAAGTCTCGGAACCTGAGTGAGACTTACTAGCTGGGCATTTGAACCGGTGCGCCGGCGAGACGGCTTCCGAAAGTTCGCGAAGACCGCCGTCGGCTTCCTAAAAGCTGTTGCTCAGAGCCTCACAGCTGCGGGGATTGATCTGGGCAAACTACTGGAAGCAACAAACCGGAAAGGGATGAACTCTGCTGTGTTTAGATGCTCATTCCTCCTGACACCACCTAAATGCTCCACAAGGAAGCTGCCACTATGAGCAAATGGAGGATGCGTAAACCTTGGGAACCCTAGCAGGTTTTTACCCGCGCAGCACTTAACAACCAACCGCAAAGAGCAGCATATGAGATAAGTTTCAGTGCCCCGCATGTTGCCATCGCATGCCCCCCGTGCAAGCGGAGCATGCTTCGATGGCTTGCGGGCCTAAACTAGGTACGCGGTAAAAATTGGGAATTGCCACCCTAATTTTGGGGCGATAACAAAGAAACACGTGGGACACTGACATATTGGTCTCCGCATGGATTCCATTAGCCGCGCGAAGCCACCGTCCAAACATCGGGGCGCTGGTACCCGACATTGCCGGAGACTGCATCACACAAGCGCAGAACAAACAAGCTACAAAGTACAGAAACAAAGCTCAAAGGTTAAAGGTACTTAGACCTTCTACCCCTGGCCATGGTCACGGGGCAATCTCCCTTTTAAGGGCTTTAGGGTTCGGCTGTCAAAAGCGCTTGGGGGTTGACAAATGGCCCTAAGTCGTTTTGTTAGGGAAGCCCAACGGAAGGCGTTTGACAAATACCCTCCAGGAAGGTGAGATACTCTTGCAGCTCCGACATTGGGGTCATAGTGCGTAACTTGTTGCTAGGGATACCCCAGGCAAGCCCATATAGGTAACCCTTCGCTATGTTCCTTTTGGTTTGAATGGGTGGTTCCCTTGGTTGCCTACTATACACAAAATTGAATCCGACTGGGATACCCAACCAAAGCACGTTGCACACGTTTAGAGCTTCCAACCAGGAAATGGGGCACAATTGAGGAGCTGTAAACAAATTGCATGTTTCTCCCGAAAAAGTTGGCGGCGAATTATTAAGGCTAGTAAGTATCGCTTCCATTATATACCCTGCTCACTTCGTCCACAGGTCTCAAAACATGGTTTGCCACTGCAAGAGCCTAAATGACTCGAATGGGGTTGTACTATTACACAACATTTCATCATGGGATAATCGTGTAAGATTCGTCAGTCTCTGTTGTGGGAGTCAACATGCCAGCGCAAATGTCCAGATCAGCTCGCGTCACACAAAGCTTCAAGGGCCGAAAACACAAAGTCACAAGGTCAACCAAGGCTCTCTGGAGCTTCCCTATGCGGCGAATTCATCTAAGGGGGAATCGCATCACAAGGCCCCAAATCCGTCGCAAACCAAAGCCCTTTGTGGCGCCAAGGGCCCCTCTGGTTGAATACTGCAATCTGCTCATCTCATGAGCTCAGCTAGGGTAAAGCGAGCTCAGCATGAATGCTCTTTACTGGGGCGTATGTGTCCCTTCTCGGAGCGGAGTCCTTTGTGAGTTGTCAAGGGTGGGAAACTGGCACGTTTTTCAAGGGCAAAAAGCCTGCGTACTCCCCCACAGAGTAACGTGGAACCCAAAAACCGCCTTGTTTCGAGGACTCTCCTTTTATGGGGACCCTCTTTTTCTGGGTTCTGTGTCAATTGTTACGGGAATCAGAAGGCGCTTGGAGATGCGTTTCCGGCCCCTGGGCCAGCGCACACTCTCGCTGCGCTCCAGGGCAATAGACATCTGAGCGTGAGAGCGAAGCGCGAGCAAGCGGGTCGGAGCCGGATCTTCACATCCGAAAAAGGCCACCCTTGAGAGATTTGTGCTCTGCATCGTTGCCACTTTATCACTCTAAAGAAGGCCACCTCGGGAGAAAGTGATCCTAAAATCCCGTTTTCCGCAACCGAGAAAGGCAAAAGGGGACCGTGGTACCTCCTAAGCATGATCTTGCAGAGCAAAAGAGGGTTGAAGTACTAAGGGACCATTTGTCAGAAGAACGCAATGCATGTTTAACTGTTGATCATGTGTTAATGGCAATGCTTGTTTTGCCAACGAAATGGAGCACCCGCACTCTCTCCCTCCCTCCCTCCCTCTCTCTCTCTCTCTCTCTCTCTCTCTCTCTCTCTCTCTCTCTCTCTCTCTCTCCCTCTCTCGTATTCAAAGGTTGATCAAACGTGGTGACCCTATGTACTTGAGGAACTCGCTTTGAAGCAGCTAGAACGTTACCCATTCCCCAAAATGACCAGTTTAGACAACCTGACATCTAGATCTATGGAATCTAGATCTGGAAAGCACTTACACAAACAAACACACGCGCACACACACACACAATCACACACAATTACACGAAAACGCAAATACACAAGTACATACACATGCACACACACACACACAGAGAGACAACGCGTGAGGTGTGTCGAGGACTGCGGGACACCCGTGGAACACCACAACGAATGAGTCCACCAAGGCTTGCTAAGATCTGGGATCATCCAATTACCCCTGAATTTGCCACCCCTCTGAACCCCATTATGTATGCAGGCTCCTCGTTCCATAGCACTTGGCAGGATTCTGAAAGCCGGGGGTACCCTCCAGGCTCCGTGCAGTTGTTCCATGTTTCGGGGTGTAACAGTCCAACTTATGACGTCTTATTCCCCAAATGCGGCAGGGAATCCTACTTGTGGGTACGGAATCGCTTTCCGCTTTTTCCAAAGGTACCAAACGACCCCTCTTTACCCCTACAAAGCCACCAAAGGGTACTTGGACCCGTAGAGCTTGATGTGACTTTGGTTCGTTGGCGGGGCCCTAAAATTGGGGCCTCGTGTCCATTCAAAGCCCTTGCCAAAAAACAAGCGCCAATGTTCGCATTCGGATAATTTTATGGGGCCTAGGTGGGTGATGTATTTACCTGAGGGGTTCCTCCCAGTCTGCTCATCCAAATGCGAGGTCCAAAAGGACTGTCCCATTTGAACAGCTTTTCAATGAACATTCCGAGTCAACCAGAAATCTGGCATTTCCAAGAATACCTGACACCTCTGGATTCGCCGCAAGCGGCTGCGGGTCTGGGCGCCCGGTGGGGCGACCAACAGCACTCCTTGTTTGTTTTCCTTTAAGAGCCCATCCATTGCTTAAACAACCTCCAAGTGTGCCTTTATTGGCCATGGAATTTAATTCTTCAAACCAATCTTGCAACCACTCCTGTGCGCATATGCCCATGAGGTGGCCTGCCCATCTGGAAGCTTCTGCTCGACCTTTGTCTGGCAAAACACCGCGGCCTCCACAAAGCGCGAAGCGACGTGCAAAGTAGCGCGTCACACAAAGCGGCTGGGGTGGGGAGTTGCCATCTTGTTTATTTGGGTATGGGTCAAAACTACACCACCAGAGGACCGCAGGTACCTCTCGGTACTTGGAACGGTGGGCTTTTGCTCTAACCAAAATTCAACCAAAACTTAACTGACCAAATCACATAGCTGACAAAATCCCCTGGAAACACGCAACTATAATGGGGTATTGGTCAAAGTGGTTCAGACAGATCCATTTGTCTGGTCCAGAAATGTCGTCAACCATCGATCGTAGCTGAGCATAAGCTGATTCCCTTGTATGCAGAAAGACAGGACACCTATGCATTAGTTTCCCTATGTGTCTCCTTCTCCGATGTTATGATGGGAACACACAAAACAGTTTTTGGCTGCGACTACTCCTTTTGTGACAGTTTCCTCAAAGTCCAAGCAAGAGCAAACAGGCAACACCACCGACCAAAAGAGGAGCACATCTCAGGGCGTCCCATTTCAAGGCAGGGTTCCACCAAATTGCTATACTTACATCGCCCAAAAACGGCACCCCTTGAGCCCAAAAAGAGTGTGCCCGCCTACAGTAAATATGGCGGTTCTCGACCGTTGCTCCAACCTTGCCAACTGGAAACCCGAATGGAGCTCGCCAAATGTTTTGCATTGAGAGCTGCAGAAGCGTTGGCACATTCGGCTGCCACTTTGTGGTAAGGCCAACCATCATAGGCTGCTAAGGCAAAATCAACTGCAAGTTTGATTGCTGTTCGAAGGGGAATCAATTCAAAAGGAGAGCAATCTGTTTGAGGCCCCTCCCATTTACGCAGGGGCTTGTCTTGTTTCAACGGTACCCTTCGGGGAAGTCCAAGGGGCTCCGTATGACACACCTTGCCCGCTGCCTCATTGGTCAGAGGCGTGGTGATGGGCTCGCCAAGAGGCCCATAAATTCCTAGGATGCGGAGTGGCCAAGTTGTTCAGCTGCCCAATGGCCCCTTCCGCCTGTTTGGGCTTGTCTCACTTGAGAAGGGGTGACGCGAAAGGTAGGATACCGTAAAGTGGACCCTCTAATGAAAGGAAGGGGCTTGCATCGAATACCATTCATGTGCGCATGGAGCGCAACAGCTTGACTATGTTAAGAGCAATTTCCGTTCCGCGAAAAGGGGCAGTACTTGTTGACCAGGCAAATTGGGCACTGACGAAGCGAGCAAGGGACAAGGTGCACCGTGACTTGACGAGCAAAACGGTGCCAAAAAGCGGACCGAAGTGTGAAG